CCAGCAGAGCCTTTTCCCTGCGGGTGCTCTTTGCCTAACCCTCATTTCGGACTATTATTCGTGCTCATTTTTCAGTCCTAATCACCACATCAGCTGTCAACGATTTTATTTTTCACTGTCTCGGTCAGTGGCTGAATTCTGTACGTGGCTCAGATGCTTTCTCTCAGAATTTCTATCGGCTTCATTGGGTTGAGGCTGGCAAGCAGCCACCAGGCCCGGTAGCACGTTCATCTTGAATGATCTGGCTTTATGCCTGCGAGGTAAGTGAGGGACTATCTCTGTAAATTAGCCACGGAATAAGTGCGGTTGTTCGCTGCCTCCGTAGAGGTCATCTGCTGGCTGGATAGAGACGTTAGAGCATTCTAAACCTTACAAGCTGGCTCTTATGATCCAGCCTCCACCCTGTGGCCTACACATCGCTTGCAATCCTGGCACTGGGGCACCGCGGGCCCTTGTAAATGGACAGCCGCGGCCCGCGATGATCCAGGCTCAGCTCCATGATTCTGCTGGCTGTTCCGGCCCCTTCTCTGGGCAGAGCGGGTGGGAGCTCTCCAGGCCGCAGGTGCTGAAAGAGCCACCGGGCACCAGGCAAAGGCCGCTGGCCGGGTGTGAGCGCAGGAGAGGATGTTGCCAGAGGAGGACCAGGGCCGAGCGTGCGAGGGAGGGTGGTCGCTCCCTCCTTTGGCACTCTTCTTGCTGCAGGAGGGGCCGTGAGTGCTGGGGAGGGTGGTCGCCCTGGGCGGCTGCCCAGCTTTTTTGGTTCCAGAGAGGGAGAGATGCAGCAAGGATTCGGCTTCAGACGCCTGGCCTGAGGAACTGTTCTGTGAAATATACTTTGTTCGGACGCTTGCATGGAACCGTTTCTCCCCAGCTTTTTCTTTTACTGCATAGGCACACCTTGTGCCCCCCCCTGCAGAGATCTGGATCGGGGCCCTTCTCTGTGTGGTGCCTCAGTTTCTACACCAGGAAGGAAATCTAGCTCTCTAGAGGCCTGGTTGGCCGACTCCACTGCCCATCACAGAACTGGTCTCTCCTCCGCTGAGCACACGGGGGCTTCTAAGAACCCCCACGCCCAAGAGGGGCTTCCTACCCAGCAGCCTTCGGGTTCCTTTGGGTTCTGGGGATTCCTCTTTTTTGGGGGGGGGACTGTGGGGCCTTTATTGGTTGGTTTGTTTTGATGGATTGATTTTATTAGATTTACAGTAAATAGATTTTAACTCCCACAGCTAGCATAGATGGCGGGAGGGGAGAGCAAGGGGGGGATGAGGGGAATTCAGAGAGTAAAGGACTTTTCTGCAGCCTTAACTGTTGAGCCCGCAAAGGGTCTGATGGCCCCTCAAAGCCTGGCAAGGCCAAGTCGCTCTTGGCACCAGCTTTTACGGTCTTTTGCCTCCTTCCTCCAAGACAGCATCTCAAGGTCGTTATACCTGGGGAAGTGTGTCGGAGCCCATGGGCCCTTTCATTGGCCAAGAGACCCTTCATGGGTCTCACTTCCACTGACCCCAGGCCAGGTGCCTCCCTTTGCGCGTTGGGAGTTCGGATGCTGCAGAAATCAAGCTTGTGAACATGATAATGGGGAAGGGGTTGGTTGGGTTGCAGCACCAAAAACTTGAGAGCTGCATCCCATAATATTCTGGCCAAAAGCCAGCATCTGCCAGCATCCCACTTTCTCCTGCCTCGGCAGCTGCTGGAGGGCCCCTCGCCGACCCCCATCTTTCCAGTCTGCCAGGAGTGAGGAGGGAGGGGAGGGCAAGGCAGCTCTTTCATTCCTGGGGGGGGATTCTGAGGAGGGGCCCCTCCTGCTCCTCCTCTGCCACCCACCCACCCACCTTGTGGCAGCTTCCTTAAGAGCAGGGGTTCTTTGTCAAGCCCTGTAGTTTTGGTCAGCGTCCGGGGTGTGCATGGATGCTTTCCACAGCGGTGTCAAGGGCACCAGGACCCAGAGGGCCAAGCCCAAGCTTGGACACAGGGACCAAGTAGCCACGATGGGAGCCCCGGAGCGGAAACCGGAGCACCGGGCCGGGAGCCAGGCGGCAGGAGTGGGAGCACTGAGCTGGAGCAGGAACGCCAGAGTTCAGAGCAGGAGGAGCCGGAACGGGAGCAGAGCAGCCGAAGGCCCGTGGGGCTGAGGCAGCGCCTGGGAGGGGAGAGAGGCCTTCCTGAAGTAGGCCTTCCCTCAGGGCCCCCACGGGGACCTCCTGAGAGCCCCAGCAGCTGCTGCCTTGGCAGGGCTTGATCCTGCAAACGTGGGCTCTCTCAGGGACCAAGCTGGCCCCAAACCTGCAGCTGCCAGGAGGATCCTGACTGGTTTCTTCTGTCCTGAAGGGAAACACGGGGCCTCGGGGGAGGCAAGCCTCCAAATCTGTGGGTTTACGGGACTTAATAGCCAAATGTGAAGGAAAGGCACTCTGCACATGCTTGTGTTCCTTCTGCTGAGCCTCTGCCTTGACGTTCAGAAGAAGTCCCTCTTGCCCGCGTAGGCAAAAAGCAGCTGGTGGGTAGGTCTCCTTCCACTCCCTTCCCTCCCACCTGTGTCGTGGTCGTCCCTTGTCTCCAGCCTCTGCCTCTCCACTCTCTTGACGTGGCCAGGGAGAGTCTTGTCTGCCGAATACCCCCACGGGTCTGTTTCATCCCGGCTGAGCCCCCTCCCAGCTGGGGAGAGCTGGCTTCTCCCTCCCCTACCCAGGAAGGCCTGGCCCGCAAAAGCGGCTTTGGAGATTACCGGGTGGCCTGCAAGGGTCAACTGAGGACATGCCTTTCCCTTGCTCCCTGCGAGGGAAAGGCAGCTTGCCGGGGCTTCCTGACCCGCCACCCCCCCTCTGGAAGGGCCGTGGGGGCTCCCCCTCCCCTCCCCTCCTGCCAGCCTTCCTCATCTACACTCGCTCCCATGGTGCCAGGGGGAGGAGGGTCTGCCTCCCCAGTACAAACAGGAATAGAGGTGGTATTTCTTGCTTGCTTGTTTTATTTATAGGCTGCCTTTCTTCCAATAAGGGGACCCAAGGTGGCTCACAATATTAAAAAGAAGAAAATTAAAAACATAAATATTAAACATCCAAAACCAATAAAACAAGTTTAGTTAGCGCATTTGTCCTGTCAAGGAAATCTGCATGACGCTGTGCTTTCCAGTGACTCGCTTGCTCCTCTCCGGGCCACGTCCAGTGGAGAACACCCACCAAGGCCTCTCCGTGGCTCTCCCCTCTGGCCTGGGGACCTGAGGTGGGCAGCGGCAGGTGGGCAGCAGTGGACTCAGTTTACATGCAGTCACTTCCGTCTGTGTGACTGCGTGCCAGCGGGCCTCTGAATTAATGGAGAACCAGTAACTGCTGGTAGGATCAGGGCCCTTTCTCTTGAGGCAAGTGCTTCTGAAAAACTACCTGCCAGAGCCAGTGATTCCACAGAGGAGACCCATGAGCTCTGAGCTGCTCACGCCGGCTGCGTCCAGCCCAAGGCAGGGTCGTGGGGGGGGGAGGAATCTGCTGCGCTCAGGAGAGCGCTCCCGGGAGAAGCTGCCGCGCATCGTGCCACGGGTCCGTCTCCTCTAGAGTGGTCTTTTCTGATGGTCAACCGGGCGGGGGGGGCAATCACAGCAGCACAGGCAGTAGCACCCGGCTAGCCGGCTTTCATAACCAGTCCTTTCCTGCTCAGCTTCTGTGTGTGCGTGCATAGGCCTACGAGTGTGTTTCCATCTCTTATCCCCGGAGGCAGCTCATGGGGCACATTTTACATCAAAAGCAGTTCATGGAAAGAGAATTGCTGCAGCTGCAGTAGAGAGAGTTACGTGACCAGACCAGCGGCCCACCCAGTCCAGGCTGGAGAACAGGCTGGACCTGAGCTGGTCCCCTCTGTGTTATTTGTTCAGCACTCGGTGAAGAGTTTTGTCTTTAGGTGATCAGGTCTGGTCCTGTCCTCTCTTCCTCGTCTGAGCTGTCAAGTGTCTCAGCGTCACTGCTCATAGTGCCTTGGAGCTGCTGCCGATTGGTGCAGGCCCCTTAAATCCAGCCCAGGCCTGAATAAGAGCACACAGATTGGTCCTTTCGGAGGCAGTCAGACCTGATGCTTGTCTGAGCCAAGGAAGATCTCTGTTTGCTTTCCTTTCCCTGTGAAAAACCCTGTTCCTACAAATGGGGAAATGACAAGGGTGTGCAGCTTCATTTTTAGTTCCACCCTTCTTTTTTTTTCTCAGCCACTAGTAGAAAGCACCAGTCTCACCAGTGAACAGAGCAGCTTTGTAAGGCATCTGCAAGAAGGGAGTGAGTGGGGGCTTTAAAAGGGCAATGAGCATGACCCCCTTTGACTTTGTCTTAAAAGGGCAATGTAGGAAGCCCGCTCTTCTCTATGCGTTTTGTCTTTTCTCCTGCTCCACCCTTTGTTGCTGGATCTGAAATTATGGTACTGTGGCCCCCAGTAGAGCCTTTAATGGTTTAACACATGTAGTAGGAAAAATCAAGGAAGGCTTGTTTCTAAGCTAAAGAGCACATTCTCCTTCTCTGTCGCTGCCAACTCAGCATCTTCATTAGTTTTTCTTCCCCTTCCTCTGTTAATAACAGTAATGTGTGAATGCTGGATTTGTCACAAGGGATTTGTGGGTGGTACAATGTGCCACCAGAAGTAGGTGATCGTAAACCGCTGTAGACCTCAGAATCCTTAGGAAGGCTACTGTAAGTCTTAACTAATTTGATGGCACATAATTGTTGGTAAGTCTGGTGGTTGCTGCTTTTCTGCATTAATGCTTCTGGGCTCCTTGCTCTACCCCGTGGTTGCCCCAGAGATGCACAGAGATACCCTGGTGTGGTTTACATGGACATGTTTGCTCAAAGACCACGGACATCCCTTGTGTTTTTTTGTTTTGTTTTACCATTTGAGGGAGAGAGGTTTAATTGTTAGCTGCTCTGGAAGCTCTCAAAATGTTGAAGGAGCCCATTGGGAAGGTCGAGAAAGCCCTGAAAATGAAGCCTTCCTCGGGGGCTCTGCTCTCTTCCTCTCCCTCTCCCTCCGTGCAGGCTGCCCTGGTCGGGGGAACCACCATGGTCATCGGGCACGTGCTTCCGGACAAAGACATCTCCCTGCTGGACGCCTACGAGAGGTGCCGCAGCCTGGCCGACCCCAAAGTCTGCTGCGACTATGCCCTGCACATGGGCATCACCTGGTGGGCGCCCAAGGTAGGTAAGCCAGGCTGGAGTGCGAGAATCGCCTGGCGCGCCAGGGAGAGCACGGCTCCCTCGGGGAGGACTGCCTGCCCCGGTTCCCCTCCTGCCCTTTCCGGCCCCCGTCTGCCCCTGTGCCCCTCATAGGGTGCCGTCGCCCCACCTCCACTAGGTCAGGCGGCCACCTGGTCATGAGGCCCCAGTCCACAGCTGACAGGCCAGAAGGCGAGCTGGAGGCTTACCTGCTCTTAGGGTGCCAGACGATTGCCTGTGGTAGCGGGGGATGATAGGTGACGTAGTCCCACCATCTCCAGCCACCCCTCTTCCACATGGGTGAGGTGCAGCCTTTCCCAGCCCTTCCTGGGGATGCTGGTGGAGAACTGAGCTTGGGTGGGTGGGGTTGGCAGCTTGCGCTGGCGAGGCGGGGGCTGTGCCCTTGTGGCCTTTCCAGGCCAGGGCCGTGGTCTTCAGAGGAGCCCTCCGTGGCCTTCCAGCCACAGCAGCCACAGCAGCCTCTGGGCCATGAGAGTTCCCTTTGGCAAGCCTCATGGCCACTCCCGACTCCCCCGGCTGGCCCTATAGGGTGGGAGGGCTAGGCAAAGCTGGGGGGTGGGGGTGGGGGGTTACCCAGCCCCTCAGATCAAGTCCTTCCCCCAGCATGTTTGGGAGCTGTGGAGCGGCTGCCAGCTGGCCGTTCTCCCTGGATTAGAGACCTGCTGGGCCACGGCCACCTGGCTCCCGAGTCCTGAGCCCAGGCTGGGCGAGGTGACCTGGTGAGCGCCTGGCGGGGGCTCCTGCCGCTCAGCCCCTTCCCCTTCCCTGACCCCAGAGGCCTTCTGCCCTCCCTGTGGGATCCTGTTGCCCCTGGCCTTTCGGGCATCTCCTCTGGTGCCCCTGATCCCTTTGCTGTGGCCCGGGAGGCTCTGCTCTCCCCCCCCAGGGGTGAACAAGGACCGCTTCGCATGGCCACCGCTTGGCCGGCCTGACTTTCACAGGCGTCAGAGAGTCCGGGGGGTGGGGGTGGTCCCGCTGAGGACCCCTGCCCGCCACCCTTCGTGCCCCACTCCAGGGGTCTGGGGACTGCCCAGGGGGTGCCCCCCTTGCTTCCCTCATCCCCTCCGGCCCCCATCCGCTACTCCCTCTTTTCTCTCTCTTGCATATACGCACCCCGGGGGTGTGTAGAGATGCTGTTCCTTTACCAGGTGAGCTGGCTGAGGGTTTGGACCCTGAGAGGGGGACCCCACCCACTTTGGTGCCTCCCATCCCACCTCGAAAATACATGCTGGGAAACGCCCCTTGCGCCCCCTAGTGGCTGATGTGTTGTTGTTTTAAATCAAATGAGCGTGTGACCCATGCATTCTTGTGGGGCCCACCCTGTAACAGGCGTGTCTCCCACGCCTCACCCGCCCCTACGCCCCCCCCCAAGAAAGAGGAAGGAGCCTTCCTGGCCAAGCCTGTTTTGGGCTCTGTGCCTGTTTTTGATTCAAAGCAGGGCCCCGGTGGGGACCCTCTTAGAGGGGCAGGGGGCGCTTGGGGGTCCTTCTTTGGCCCCTGACCCCAGCGATGAACTTTGACCGAGGTGGAGAAAGGCAGCCTGCAGGGGAAGCGCCGAGGGAAGGGGGCCGAGGGGAAGCCCAACCGTGCCTTGATTTTGGGGGGGGGGACCAGGCCTATAAATCCCCCCCTTGGCGGGACTGAAAGCCCTCTGGGCTGAAAGGGGACCCTTCCCCCCCCCCGGCCGTACACAGGATTGGCCCCAGTGGAGCCAGCCTGCTTCGCTTGGCCCCTGTGGGAAGAGCCGTCCCAGACGGAGCCTGGCAAGGAGCGAAGGGGGGGGCTGGGGGCTGTTTTTCCTGCCCAGCCCACCCTTCCTCCCTTTGCCCCTCCCCAGCTGCTCTTGTGCCCGGCGGGAGCCCGGCCGGCTTTGGGCCGTGGTGGGCCATGTTGGGGTCGCCTCTTGTGTGGCCCCTTCACCCCTCCCTCTGGCCGGCCCTTTCAGAGTCCTGGCCCTCGCTGTCCAGAACCTGCCAAGCACCCTCGGGGACCCTGGCAGCCTTCCTGCGCGGCTTTCCTCTGCTGCCCTTCCACCCCCTTATTATGCTCTGGGGTGGGGGTGGGGGGCACCCTCCTCTCCCTTGGGGATCCTGACAACCTGGATGCCTGGCTCTGGAGCCCGAACCCTCCGCTCCCTCGTGCCAGGGCTGCCCTCAGGTCCTGGGGTGGAGAGGAGAGCCTTCTGCTCTCGGGGGCCTTCTCTTCGCCCGCTTGTCCCCCCCTGCCACCCCCCCCCACTGCAGGTGAAGTCGGAGATGGAGACCCTGGTGCGGGAGAAAGGGGTGAACTCCTTCCAGATGTTCATGACCTACAAGGAGGTGTACATGCTGAGGGACAGCGAGCTCTACCAGGTGTTCCGTGCCTGCAAAGACATCGGGGCCATTGCCCGCGTCCACGCGGAGAACGGCGAGCTAGTGGCTGAGGTGATATATAGTGGCTGAGGGGGGGGCTTGGAGGGGAGAGACCCAAAGGGCATTTGGCCTCCCACCAGACCTGACCTTGGGGGGGTGGGGGGTGTCACTGAACCGCTTGCAGAGGGACGTGGCCAAGCGCCGTGCTGGTGTAGGGAGGACGTGGTCAGTGCCTGGTGCCCAGGGGAACGGGGGAGCAGCCCATGCACTGCGCACGGGGAGGGTGGATCGTGCCCCACCTGCCCCACCTGCTCCTGGTGCTCTCACAGAATCATGGGGTTGGAAGGAGCCAGAAGGCGACTGAGTCCAACAGCCCCCCCCTTGGATGCCTCTCGCGCTGGAGCGCTTGCCCCCTCCCGAGGCCGTTGGGCAGCGAGAGAGAGGCCCTCCCGGGTCCCTCTGGCCCAGAAGGCTTTGGACCCTGTCCGGGTGGCACTCCTCCTTGGAGCGAGGCCTGGTCCTCAGAGGTGGCCGTGGCGGAAACGAGAGCGGAACGGACCTGGCCCGGTTGGCCTCTGCCCTGCACAGCTGTGCCCCGAATCCTCTGGGATCCCTTGCTTCCGCACCATCCGGATGTGACGTGTCGCCCTGAAGCGCCACCACGGCCCACAGTCGGCATGGGAAGCGTGGGGCGAGGCGTGCTTTGAAGCCTGTCTTCCAACCCTTGGGTGCCGGAGATATTTGGGAAGTGCAGAACGTCCTTCAGAATTTATCTGAAACGGTGGACCAAGAGGGGGAGGGAGAGGCGCCCGTTGAGCCCTCTCCCCAGGGTGCCCCAGACTCACTCCCTCTTGCCCTGCTTTTCACCACAGGGAGCCCGGGAAGCCCTGGATCTGGGCATCACTGGCCCAGAGGGCATCGAGATCAGCCGGCCAGAGGAGGTAAGGGGTGTGTGTGTGTGTGTGTCGCCCAACAGACTTGCTCTCCGGCTGGAGGGGGAAGCCAGCCGTCCTGCCCCCTGCTTTTGGCAACTGGAGGGCAAAGGGGCGCTGAGATGAGGGGTCTGTGCATGTTGTGGAGGGGGTGGCACGGGTGGGGACTGCCCCCTTGCCTGGGGAGGTGAGGAGGGGCACCTTTCTCATGCCCTTACTAGCTCTGCCTTCCACCCACCCTTTGAGGCCATCGCACACACACATACACACACACACCCCTTTCCATCTCAAGGAAACGTGGGAGCTGGGCTGCATTGCGTGGGATTCATGGCATGAGTCCGGTGGAGCCTCGGGTGCCCTGTGGGGCTAGGAAGGGCCTTGGTGCGGACAGGATGAACCCCTCCCTTGCTGAGCTCCAGGCTGCACTCTCCAAAGCTGGGTGGGACAGCGCGAGGGGCCCCGTGAGACCCGGCTTAAGGTCTGCCTGGTTGAGAGTCTCCATCATGCTGTAGCCCATGGCTTGGTCAGGGATCCCTGCTTTCACATCTCTCCCCCCCCCCCAAAAAAAAGCATGCCTGGAGTATTTGGGGGTAGCGGGGAAATGCCAGGGTCTTGTGGGCATCTGTGGGGCCTGAGCATGGGAGTGACTGTCGGGGTCTGTTTCCTGGGAGTAGATGGGCTTCTCATTTCCCCGCTCATGTTCTCCCCCCCCTTCTCTGCATCACAGCTGGAAGCGGAGGCCACCCACCGCGTCATTACCATCGCCAACCGGGTAAGCAGCCAGCCTTCAGTGGTAGGGCAGAACAAAAATTCCATCCCTCCATAGCCTTGGCAGCCGTGCCCACCCCGCACCCCCACCCCCCGCATGGGCATACCGACATGCGGCCTCCTCTTGGAGGTTGCCCTTTCCTGTCCCAGGGGAACACTTCGGACCCAGATGTTCCCCTGCAGGCGCTTGGATGTCTCTTCCAACCCTGCCGTGATTCTATGAAAAGCAAAAGCCTTTGGCCCTTTTTTATTATGCTTAAAAGGCGCACGGCTGGTGATGGAACGCGCCGGTCCGAGGGCTGTGGAGCCCCGCCTGATCATGCTGGCGAGGGCAGCCCTCTCCCCTCAAGCGCCCTCCTCCTCTGCTGGGGAATCGCTCCTGCCCAGCCCCCAAACACGGGAGCCCTCCCGCTGGACATTTGGCAGGGGCCGGGGATTGGGCTGGGGCACATTCCCCCAAGCGCCATGGGATCTCCGGAAAAGGGGTCCCACCGGGCCATGCTCCAAGCGGCCCAAACGGTGTGGTTCACACCTGCAGCCTTTGGGGGGGGGCTGGGCATCGGTGTCTGTGTGTGTGTGAATTTGGCCAAAGGACCGGACATTCCCAGCCTTGCCTAGGGTGGGGGAGACTTCCCTTGGGGGTCTGAGCCGGCCCACCTGACGCCTCCGCGCTCTCTCCTCTCCCCTCCTCTCCCCTGGCAGACTCACTGCCCCGTCTACCTGGTCAACGTGTCCAGCGTGTCTGCCGGAGATGTCATAGCGGCCGCCAAGATGCAAGGTGAGCCGCCCTCCCTGCTCTCGGGCAATGGGGGGCCTGAGGGGGTGGGGGTGGGGGGTCCTCCATGGAGCATCCCTGCTCCTCTGGCTCGTGGAGGACCGCCGTGGCCTGAGGCTCCTCCTCCTCCTCCCCCCCCCTTGCAGGGAAAGTTGTCTACGCCGAGACCACCACGGCACACGCCACGCTGACAGGCTTGCACTACTACCACCAGGACTGGTCCCACGCTGCTGCGTATGTGACGGTGCCACCCTTGCGGCTAGACACCAACACGTCCACATACCTCATGAGCTTGCTGGCCAAGTAAGGGGGGGGGCTCCGTGTACAAAAGGAGGGAGGCAGCATCACAGGCAGGACGGGGGGGGCTCAGGGGAGTGCCGTGCTGGTGGTGGTGGTGGTGGTGGTGGTGGTGAGCAGGACGGAGGTGCAGTCGGGCCGTGACCGGGTACCACCACGCAGAGAGGTCCAAGGAGGGAAGGCTGTGGACAGAAGGCGGGGGAGGGGGCGCGCGAAAGCCTGCCAAGGAGTGGGGGGGGCAGGAGAGCCTTCCTGTACAAGCAGGACGGTTGATATTTGAGGGGGAGTGGGGCTGTGCCCACCCCCCACCGCCTCTCCCACGTCCTGGGTGCTTCTCCACCAACCCGCTCCGCCACCTTCCCCAGTGACACCTTGAACGTCGTGGCCTCCGACCACCGGCCGTTCACCACCAAGCAGAAGGCCATGGGCAAGGAGGACTTCACCAAGATCCCCCACGGGGTCAGTGGGGTGCAGGACCGCATGGCCGTCATCTGGGAGCGCGGAGTGGTAGGTGTCTGCCGCCGGGGCAGCCCCTGTTCAGCAACAGCACGGAGGGAGGGATGAATTGGGGGGGGGAAATTAACCCATGCGTGGGTGGAGGGTGCGTGGGCAGCGAGGTCCAGAATCGCCTTGCCAGATGTCCAGTGGCAGCTTGGATCAGGATGATGGCTGTTGGTGTGTGTGTGTGTGTGTGTCCCAAACGTTTTGGTGCAGAGAACCAAAACCTGGGGGTGGACAGCTCCATGCAACGGAGGGACAGATTTTTAACCCTGTTTCCCTTGCCCCCCCCCGACCTTCCTGACTGTCACAAGAAAAAAGAAGACAAGAAAAGTATCAAACTGGAAGTGATCTCACGTCCACTTAGGACTGAAGCCTCCAGAGCTGGAAAAACACTTTTTCATGGTGGGGGGGTGGGGGGGCGGAAATCTGCATGAGGAGGATGCTTTCTGAGGGAAAAGATTTCCCAGCCACTAAGCGACTGGTGCTGCTGCTTCAATTGACTGCGTAAGGAATTTGGAAAGTCCTTTCTTTTCCTCTCCGGAAACTGATGGAGAAACAGAAGAAGTGGACGGGGGGGGGGGGGG